CACGAAGCCCTCCTCCTAAGCAGTCACCACTGGGACAGTGGTGCAGCCAGGTGGGTTGCCAATGAGTTGAGGATGGGAAATCCACCCTGCAATATGTGGCCAGGGACCACCCGGGAGGTCACAGCAAAAAGGGTTACCAGTGAGTGCCCCCAGCAGGGCCTCCACCTCTCCTTTGGGAGGACCGGTTCTGGACTCCAGGGTTTTGATCCTTCCGTGAAACCCGTGTCCCCAGTGTGTGCCCAGTCATGTGCAAGTATGCTTCATCCAGCCAGCTGCATGCCCTCCAAGGTCTGCGACTCTCAGTCCCCCATAGGTCCCTCTGCAAGAGCCCGGGAGGCCTGGCGACATCAGAACATCGGCCCAAGTGGTGACCGGTCACCAGAGTACTATTTTAATCACAGAACAGGCCTCTTAGGCCCGGGCCTGGGCCAGTGCAAGGCCTGGTGGTCGATGATTGCACAGTATGGGCCCGCATGCCGGAAGCCATAACCAGGGTGGCTGTGGAACCTCTTACTGAACTCCGTTTGTGTGGTCCAAAAGAGCCACGGCTACGGCCAGCAGCCCAGACGCTTTCACCAGAAGCCCAGTTAAGCAGTGGAGTCCTGTGGGCCGCCTAGCATGCCACATGCGCAGGGAGGCACTTTGAAGGCCAATGTTCCCTCCTTTGGCTAACTGACTAGTAACTGGTTCCTTGGGACCTGCCAGACCAAGACCCTGCCGGGATCGGCTATTGTAAACTTCCAGCCCAGGTCCACCTTACTCGATGGAGGCCAAGCAGGGGAAGACCTGTGTGCCTGCCGCCAAGCATCCCGCCTCCTCGCTGAGGTGCCTTCCTGTTGCAAACCTGGTCAGGTGGTCTCGAGGAGCCAGATGGACGATGAGGCCCCTTTGGAGCTGGGCACCAGTGAGTTCTTGCAGGGAGTGGGCAGGGGACACGGGAAAGCCTCCTGCAGAGGATGGGCAGATGCCAGTGTTGTCTTCTTGGGGCCACCTTCAGCTTGATGATGATGATTGGCAAATGCAATGTTGTAAATTGCAAAATACTGATCTCTAGTATGGTCATTTTAAAGAGGAAACCTAACCCTTTCCCCTAAACAGTTGAGGATCTTAGTATCCATCTGTCTGTCTTTTAGATGAAATTCCTAAACCTGTGGCCAGGGCTATGAAGAGAAACTTAGTTTTCATAATACTTGGGCCCAAATCATCTTGCACCCATTGTGACTTTGAAAATGTGAGGAGCTGGGATATGATGTGACCTTGAGCAGCAGCCTGTGATCTTACATGGACTGGGGCAGGAGGGCTGCCTCTGAATGGCTGTAATTTCCCTATGAAGGCATAAAACCTGGAAGTCTTCAGATGGCTTCAGCTGAAGAAAAAGTTAAGCTCCTGCTCACACCTCCAACCCAAATCCCATGGTACTCTCCCTTCTGCTCTGTGCCAGTGCTGCTCATTCTCACTGACAACTGTGGTCGCAGCGACACCAGCCCACCCACTGTACTCACAAGCAGTTCAGGATTTGGGCCCCCATGCCACCAACAACATCTACTCAGTGATGATGAAATTCAGGATTTCTTTTTTTTGGGGCAGTCTTTTCGTCCTTAGAATAAGGACAGTCAAATCCCACAAACCACTGTTTTCAAAGGTTACTCATATTCTTTTTTCTGATATCCACTTAGGTATGTATTTTCTATTTGTTTCAATTTTAAGGTTTGTCTTTCTATTTTATTTCTTGAACGGGGTTGTAAGTAACTGTACTATTTAAAGGTGTGCTCAGAAACTTTCCTTCTATCTCTCTCTCACCTCATTCTACCCCCTCTCTAGAAAGATAATCATTTTCATTAGATTCTACCTTCTCCATCCTGTATTTCCTTTTGGGATGTACATGTGACACAGAGACATAAACACATATTTTTCTTGTTTCCCTTCATTCTTATACAAAAGGCAGCATTCTGTACATACTCTTCTACAACTTGCTTTTTTCACTTAACTGTATCTTCCTGGAAATTACTCCATGAAAATTCATAGAGATCTTCCTCATTTTCAAAAAATGGTTGCATAGTGTGCCTCAAAGTAGACGTTTCACAGAGTATTCAGCCAGTCTGTATGGATGGATATTTAGCTTGTGTCCAATATTTTGTGATTACATGTAGCCGACTATAAATATCTTCTGTTTCTAGTTGTAAGTCCCTGGAAGTGTGATTACTGTTTCAAAATGTAAATGCATATGTAGTTGTATGGAATAGTCAGGTGGGAAATTCCTTATCATTTAAGTTAGTCTTGAGGAAGGTGGTGTCAGCCTCCCAGTCATACCCTGAGTTGAACAATGGGGTAGGAGGAGTTGGGCTCCAGCGTGTTGAACTGGTGGCATGTATCTCCCTTTCTTCTGGGTATAGACTCCTGGGCACAGGATTACTGGGTGAGAGAGTAGGCATTTGCTTGCTTTAGTAGAATACCAATTTTCTTCTAAAAATTTACCCCAACTTACCCCACCACCAATGTGTGAGCCTTCTGGTTGCCTCAGGCTCCTGGCAACACTTGGCGTCATCAGCCTTCGTAGTTGTAAGTACTCTGGTGGGTGTAGCGGAAGCTCATCTGCTTGTGCTTTTTGGCCATTTGCACATCCATGTTATGACATCCCCGGTCAGTCTTGTGTTACCATAAAATGTAAATATTTAAATTTCTCATAGTTAAATTATACTGTATCTAAAGCATTGTGCTTGCCTTTTTGCTTAGTTAGAATTTTTGTGTCTTTTTTTTTTTTATGAGACAGAGTCTCACTCTGTGGCCCAGACTGGAATGCAGTGGCGTCATCTTGGCTCACTGCAAGCTCTTACCTCCTGGGTTCATGCCATTCTGCGTCAGCCTCCTGAGTAGCTGGGACTACAGGCGCCACCACCACGCCCAGCTAATTTTTTTGTATTTTTAGTAGAAATGGGGTTTCAGTGTGTTAGCCAGGAGGGTCTCGATCTCTTGACCTCGTGATCCGCCTGCCTCTGCCTCCCAAAGTGCTGGGATTACAGGCGTGAGTCACCGCGCCCTGCCATTTTTTTGTAAATATAATTTAAAAGCATATTTGGTTTTCTAATTATAAAATATCTGTTGTGGCAGGAGCTAGATAGGGCAAAAGGCTCCCGGGTCTCCCAGTCTCCACCTCATGGTCCGCGTAGTCAGCTGGTGCGGTGTGATCCAAGCCCTGCATTCTTTCCTGTGTTTACATGTTGTACATAATTTTTCTCTTCTTTTTTCTCCCAAATCAAGTTATACAGTTTTCCTGCAGTTAACTTTTTTTTTTCATTTATTCATCATATTGTGGACATTTTCTCATGTTACTACGTATAGATCTATTTTATTCGTTATAACAGCAGCCAAGTATCGCATTATATGAATGTGTCATCTATTTAGCTATTTCCGTTTTCCTTTTATTTTATATTAAGGTTGAGTGGAAGCTTTTTGAATTTTGGATATATGTGGTTTTTAACCTGATTTCGTTTTCATAAGCTGTATATTTGGATTTTCAAACATATATCAGTGTGATCAAGTAAAACTAGAATAATTCACCTTCATGAAGAGCTGCCTGATAAACCACTGACTTATTTTTATTAGCTTGACCTGTTTTTTTTTGCTTCAGGAACATCCGTTTTTATTTTTTGGTGTCTGTTTGTTTTAAAGAGACAGGTCTTGCTGTGTTGTCCAGGATGGTCTCGAACTCCTGGCCTCAAGCAATCCTTCCTCAGCCTCACAAAGTGCTGGGATTACAGGCCTGAGCCAGCCAGGAACATCCTATTTTGAAATGAAATTATTGTTTATCCACTGCAGGGAGTAGTGACCCCCTGTTACATTTTGATTATTCTGTCTCCTTTCAAACTAGGGGAAAATGAATTTTCCCCTGTGTGGCATTCAATGTAGTGTTGTAGGTTTTATTGGAACAGAATGTTGTATTTTCTACTTAGGTTTCCCTTTCAAATGTTTCAGGTGTACGAAGCCATCGACACCAGAGATGGAGCATCTTGTGCAGAGTTGGTGTCTTTTAAACATCCTCATGTTGCAAACCCACGACTTCAAGTAGGTAAAAGAACTGTGCACACAGGTGTCTGCAGAGAATTACAGGATAATCGCTTTCCTAAGAGAAACGTAGAGTTTGAGTAAGAAGAAAACTAGTATTGTCACTCTTATTTGAAAATTGTAAAGTTTCTTTATGATTTATGTAACTTCAATTCATTTGTGGAGCACTGACTGTGTGGGTACGCTGTAGTGATATGGACCTCCTGCCCCTGTGTTTGATTCCTACACAGCTCTCTGAGGTTTGGAGAAGTGAGATGGTGGAGAGACGGCGGAGCTTAGACTCTGTCCAGGCCTGTGCGTTCCCAAAGCCCCATAGACGTCATGCACCACAGGTGTCTCCCATTTAAGTAGAAAGTCCGGCAAGCCAGGGCCCAGCCTGGAGTTGTACATGGAGCTTCCATGTCATCTGTGGCGTAGATGATGCTGAGGTGGTATTTTCTATAGAAAATCTTGTGGACATTTGGTAAAGCCCTGTTTCCTTATTGACACCCATTATCATGTTGGGGTGTGTTTCTACTGGGAGCAGCATTTTTCTTTTGGAAGAAAAATGGGCTTATCTGTTGGTGATTATGTTTGGTGGTGTACGGATTTGCAACTGAGACCAGGTAAATCGGTCTCTGAAGTAGCAGCAGGCTTGTTTTTGTTTTTCTAATCAATACTATGTGACTCTATGTGTAGACAGTGTTGAAAACCATTGCTCTAAGTAGGAGTTAGTGCCTGAGACTTGATGAGACTCAGGCTCGCCTTGGCCAGAACACCCCACGGCTGGTGCTGTGTGCTTCATATTGTGTCACATGAGAGGCCACACACTGTCCTGTTGGCTGTCTGAGATGGATCCCTTCATTGTAAAATTCCCCCCGTAAACTTTCTTCTGGTGGTTTCATTCCCCAGGGACTGTAGAATGGTGATTTTTCTGATACTGTCATTCTTCTGTCTCACCATATCAGCACGGGCTCATTGCTTTTGTGAAAACAAAACAAAACAAAAAAAGTGTGCTGTAATCTATTGTGTATTAGTCCGGGTTCTCCAGAGACACAGAGCCAATGGGATATATCGATATTTATAGAGGTTTAGTATGAGGAACTGGGTCCTGTGATTATAGAGGTCGAGAAGTCCCACACAAGGAGTGAATTCTTCCTTCCTCGACCTCTTGTTCTATTCAAGCCCTCATCAGATTGGTCACTGCCCGTCCACACTGAGGAGGGCCATCACCTTTCCTGAGTCTGCTAGTGCAACTGCCAGTGTCATCCAGAAACACCCTCACAGATGCTCCCAGAAATGACATTGTCTGGGGACTCCATGGCCAACCAAGTTGACAGAATTAACCTTCACCTATTGAGATGTTCAGATTATCTAAAATTTGACTGTTAGGAGGAAAGGATAACTTAGAAAGAAATGTCAGCTAGCGTAGCCCAGGAGATGAGACTGGTGCTCTCAGCAGGAAGCCAAAAAGGGTGAGTCCTAGCATAGCACCATCGGTAACTCGTTAGACCTCACTTACTAAACCTGTGATAGTTACTTAACAAGTATTTCTTGACTGACTGGTTATTAAATACTAAAATATATATGAAAGTGCCTAGAATATTTTCTGACCTGCAGAAGGCGAGACTAAATTATATTCATGGGCCTCTTGTTCCCCTGAAATATTGATAAATATTTGTTGAAGTAATGAACCATTTATTTATGAGACAGAGTCTCTCTCTGTCACCCAGCGGGTAGTGCAGTGGCACGATCTTGGCTTACTGCAACCTTCAGCACCCAGGTTCAAGCGATTCTCATGCCCAGCCTCCTGAGTAGCTGGGATTAGCAGTGTGCACCACCACACCCGGCTAATTTTTGTAATGTTTTTGTAGAAACAGGCTTTCACCATGTTGGCCAGGCTGGTCTTGAACTTCTGGCCTCAAGTGATCTGCCCACCTCGCCCTCCCAAAGTGCTGGGATTACAGGCGTGAGCCACCGTGCTCACAGCCTCAACCTTTTATTTAGAGTTTTAAATATAAAGTGTTACTGTGAACTATAAAGCATAAATTTTCTTGAAACAGGTTTAAATATCTTTCTATATGTTGCATTCTTTCTGTGCCTATTTATTTTACTTTTGCCATTTTTCTTTTTTAAAATCAGATGGCCTCTCCAGAGGAGAAGTGTCAGCAAGTCTTGGAACCCCCTTATGATGAAATGTTTGCAGCTCATTTAAGGTAATCTGTTGGGGAGGAAGAAAAACACACACATCTGGAAATTGCCGAATTAACTGGGTATTTTATCTTGCATTATCTTATGCTTGAAGCAGTGAATAATTGACTTTGAAAAAGTAGGAAAATGCATTTGTAATTTCACTTTGATAAAGCCTGTGAAAATTTTATACATCAGTTGTGTAATACCATTTTTAACGTCACATAGTATTTACCATAGTGCCTGGATAGTGGTCTTTTTAGTAGAGTGTGGAGCCTAACCATTCACTTACCCCTTTTGTGGAAATAGTATGTCTTTTTTTAAGCTCTTTACGTTACTGGGAAAGAACTAGAGTTGAGCAAAGCAAACAATGCTGCTTTTATGTACACTTCGTGTCTACTGTGTTACCTCTGAAGGATCTTTTCAGGCAGAAGATGGTGTCCTTATAGCCATGTGAGATTTGATTACTGTCTTTCAGAGCAGCCTAGGCTACAGGACCAGGGTGGGGTCTGTGAGCAGGAATGTCCTGTGAACCCCACAGAGTCTTTGGAAGAGTTGGGGCACTACTGTGTTCCTTGTAGTACAAAGCACCTGTGATGTCCTGGCTCTGTGCGGTGTGCGATCGGTTCCAGATTGGACGATGAACTAACACTGACGTTACCCAGCTGGGAATCCAGTTTGAATGTCATTGTCAGCTCCTGCTAGCGTGGAAGGGTCATACTCTGTTATCAGCGTGTTACTCATAAACCTGCTGGAGCTGGGTCCTTCTGGGGCTTGAAAGTGTAGTCTCCGAGCTTACCGTGGGACTCCTCTTATCCTCAGCTGTTTGTGTTCAGCCATTCGTGTGTTTCTTCCTTCACCCCTTTCATCCCAGGACCACTGGGACCTGTGCAGTGAAGTGAGCTGTGTGTGCTACATAACTAGTGCTAGGTTTTATCGTGTGACAGCGTGTTTCTCTTTCTCCTCCAGGTGCACTTACGCAGTGGGGAATCATGACTTCATAGAGGCATACAAGTGCCAGACCGTGATCGTCCAATATCCTTTGTCATTCATGGCAGCTGTCCGGCGTAGAACGCATGCAGTGGATTACTTGGGACTTGAGACCTGGAAACATTGGGCCAGTTGCTCATTTCTGCAGTTAGAAAGGAATGACAGTGTTTTGGAAGAGAAACTCTTTTCAGCTCTTTCACTCGGGTACTTAAATTTAGCATGGATCTGAAGACTCATGCAGTCACTTAGTAAGGAAGAACCCTGGTGAAAAAGAAGGATCTTACCCTGTTGAGAAGAAGAAGGTTTAGGTAGTAAGTATAGTTACAGGGACTGGTTAAGTCCTGTGGTGAAATATCAGAAATCCAGAATTCAGGCAGAGATGGACAAGAGTGGAGTCAGATACACGTCGGCATTGAATTGTGGCGGCTGAAGACCTTAAACCAGACCAATTCCTACTTCAGTCATGTAAAGGGTATCTTTAGTTAAGGCCTGAATCGTTGAGTGTTCTAAGGATTTGTATGTATCTCTAGATTTTGTCTTTTCGTTTTAACCGCCTTGTTTAAATATACACAGAAGAGAGTTGGCCTACTTGCTACCAGCCTCCTTAGAATTCAAGAATTCTAGAGTTGATAAAATCAGCCTTATGCTACAGATTCTAAAGCACTTAAATATAACTCATGATCATCTGGGCTCAGAGAAACCAAATAAAATATCTGAAATGGCTGATTTTAAAAAATCTTGTAAGTCTTTTTTACTTAGGAGACAGTATGTATGAAATACGTGTGTTTAGTATACTTGAGCCTAGTGAGATACAGATATTTGTAATGTGAGCTTATACCTTTTTTCCTTCAAGAACTTACTATTGTTGTAACATAAGTCTGCTAAAGGATGAGCTACATTCCTTAAAATTTAGATTCTTATTCTTTACTTTAATCGTACATAGCATTGTTTGACCTTTATATGCCGTATCTTCCTTAATACAGTACATCATTCTTGCGAGCATTCCAGGCCCACAAAGAAGAAAACTGGTAAGTGTGAACAGAAACAGCTGCATTAGTAAATGGCAATTTTTTTAAGTAGAATCTTTTTACAAATTTGCTTTAAATAAATGTATATTGTATTTTCCATGTGGATATTTAATAATCATTGTGTTGACATATGGTAATATCCACACAGATTAATGGAGTTACAAATCTAGTAAACTTAAATGGTAGATCAGCCACATTGTTTGCAGTGTGTCTGTGTAAATATAGTATTATTTTTATTTCACATGTCCATTTCCCCAGATATTTATTAAATACTGTTTTTTCCTTCAGTTGTCAATTTTGAACTTTTGGTTTTAAACTTTAGATAAAAGAGGTAGACCAACTACCGTTCATTTGGGGTGTTCTAATACATGATAATGGTGGTATTTTTAAATGCCTTGCCAAACTAATTCTTAATTTTATAATTTATTAACAAACTATAGATAAATACTGAATTTTGTTTATACTAAAGTAACCAAAGGCCTTTTGCAAACAAACCCACCCTTTTATCTTTTTTTTTCTTTTCTTGAGACGGAGTCTTGCTCAGTTGCCCAGGCTGGAGTGCAGTGGCGTGATCTCGGCTCACTGCAAGCTCCGCCTCCTGCCACACTTTTATCTTTTAACGTAAAAACTTGCACATGAAAACAGTCCAGTTTTGCCAGTTGGCTGTAAAAGTTGTTTTGTGACATTTTGTGTATTACATATTCTGGTTCCTGTTAGGAAATCTGATCAAACCACTTCTTTTTTAGTGGTGCTGTTTGGATACTGGTGGGAAGCTGAGGGGAGGAGGATATCCTGGGAGCCTGGAGCTGCAGCAGGGCTGGGGCCTTTGGCAGGGTTGGGGAGCACCGCAGTGTGAGGCCCTGGGATGATCAGGAAGTTTGGGGCCTGCAGCCCACCCGGACAGAAAGTGAGGAGGCAAACAACTGTCAGAGTTTTGGATAAGCGTAGACTCCATTCTGGATAGTAGTCCTGGGCGTCTGTGTTCTTCCCACCTCTGGGGATGGAATCTTGGGTCTCATAGCCCCTCACACTTGTTTACTTTTTGTCCTGCAGGGCTCTGCCTGTCATGTATGCAGTCGCACTTGACCTTCGAGTGTTTGCTAATAATGTAAGTTTAATTTGCTGTCATTATTGTTTTAAAATTAACACTTGGTTTTAAATTAACACTTGTTTTAAAATTTTATAAATTGTTTAAATTTTTATAAAATTTTATAAAATTGTTTAAAGTTTTATAAAATGTTTAACAATAAAACACTTGTTTTAAAATTAACACTTGGTAAAATAAACACTGTTGTTTAATTTCATGTCATCTTTCCAAAAGTTTTGAGGAGTGAATTGAAGTTGAGATGTGTCTGGTATAGGAAGCAAAAGAACAGATATTGACTATTTTTTCTAGGTTAACAGAAACAGATTTAAGTAAACATTTGCTCAGATTTCCACACTGTTCATACAGAGGGAGAGGTTTCATTTTGTCGTTAACCATTTATGGTATGTATTAGTTTTATGAAGTCAGTGGAACAACAACAAATGAGCTATTCTGCATCTCTTCCACCTTTAAGATGTGGCCTGCTCCCCCGTTGAAAAGAATTCAGCTTCATATAGATTTGGGCAGTAGGAGGGGGCTTCCCTGGAGTGAGGGGAGATCCTGGGTTTTATGGAGGTGACTTCCCCTTGGGGACCCACAGAAGCCCCCATTATGGAGCAGCATTTGTCTACCTTTTGGTTTTAGGACGACCCCTTTATGGTTTTAGAAATGATTGATGACTTCAGTTCTAGGCAGCATGCAATGGATTTCTCCCTATTGTGCCTGCTAAAAACAGTTAAAACCCTGGGAGTTGTCAGGCTGGCATGGCTATGGGAGGTGGAGAGAAGAGGGGGATGGGGCTCAGAGTTGGATGTAGGGAGTCTCCGGGTTTCCCTTTTGTCTCCTGTCTGTCCTGGACTGGGTGCCTTAGAAACCTGAAGCCTTTCACTGTCAGGCAGAGACAAAATCCCCAAGGAAACCAGGAGCCTGGGTAGACAGTCCAGCAAGACAGAACTCTGACCATCACTGCCTCACTCCAGTGCCAGGCACAAAAAGTCCGCAGGTCCCTCCCGCTCCATCTTCAAAGTGGTGCGGGCTGGGGGTGGCCCAGGACCTCCACCCTGGGCTAGCAGTAATGAGGAGCTAGGTGGATGTCAGAGGCTCAGCAGGGGACCTGGACCTCCCCCATTCAGTGGCAACGGGGATGCGCCTGTTTCTCTGCTTACATCGTGAGGCCTGCTAAAAGAAGATAAATAAGATCCACAGTCTTGTCACGTAGTGCCCCAAATGTCCAGGATTTAATCGACACCGATTACCAGGAAAATGTCAACTTCCTGAGATTTTGAATGAGAAAAGACGTTCAGCAGAAGACACCAATGCTGAGACTGCACAGATGTTGGAATTATCTGATAAGCATTTTAAACAGCCCTCTTGATTCAGCAAGCAATTTAGAACGTGCTTGAAACAAATGAAAACATTTAAAGTCTCAACAAGGAAATAGGCAATATAAAGAAGAATGGGGGAGGAGGGAGGGGGGTTCCAAGATGGCCGAATAGAAACAGTTCCAGGCTACAGCTCCCAGTGTGAGCGACGCCGAAGATGGGTGATTTCTGCATTTCCAACTGAGGTACCAGGTTCATCTCACTGGGGTGTGTCAGACAGTGGGTGCAGGACAATGGGTGCAGCCCATCAAGCGAGAGCTGAAGCAGGGCGAGGCATCGCCTCACCCGGGAAGCGCAAGGGGTAAGGGAATTCCCTTTCCTAGCTAAGGGAAACCATGACACACAGCACCTGGAAAGTCAGGTCACTCCCACCCTGATACTGCGCTTTTCCAAGGGTCTTAGCAAGCGGCACCAGGAGATTATATCCTGTGCCTGGCTCAGAGGGTCCCACGCCCATGGAGCCTCCCTCATTGCTAGCACAGCAGTCTGAGATCTAACTGCAAGGTGGCAGTGAGGCTTGGGGGCGCCCGCCATTGCTGAGGCTTGAGTGGGTAAACAAAGTGGCCGGGAAGCTCGAACTGGGTGGAGCCCACTGCAGCTCAAGGAGGCCTGCCTACCTCTGTAGACTCCAACTCTGGGGACAGGGCATAGCCAAACAAAAGGCAGCAAAAACCTCTGCAGATTTAAATGTCCCTGACTGACAGCTTTGAAGAGAGTAGTGATTCTTCAAGCACAGAGTTTGAGATCTGAGAACAGACAGACTGCCTCAAGTGGGTCCCTGACCCCCAAGTAACCTAACTGGGAGGCATCCCCCAGTAGGGGCAGACTGAAACCTCACACGGCCGGGTACCCCTCTGAGACGAAGCTTCCAGAGGAACAATCAGGCAGCAACATTTGCTCTTCAGCAGTATTCACTCTTCTGCAGCCTCCGCTGCTGATACCCAGGCAAACAGGTCTGGAGTAGACCTCCAGCAAACTCCAACAGACCTGCAGCTGAGGGTCCTGACTGTTAGAAGGAAAACTAACAAACAGAAAGGACATCCACAGCGAAACCCCATCTGTACATCACCATCATCAAAGACCAAAGGTAGATGAAACCACAAAGATGGGGAAAAAATAGAGCAGAAAAGCTGAAAATTCTAAAAATCAGAGTGCCTCTCCCCCTCCAAAGGAATGCAGCTCCTCGCCAGCAGCGGAACAAAGGTGGACAGAGAATGGCTGATGAGCTGAGAGAAAAAGGCTTCAGACGATCAAACTTCTCTGAGCTAAAGAGGGGGAGAACGCATTCCAAAGAAACTAAAAACCTTGAAAAAAGATTAGACGAATGGCTAAATAGAATAACCAATGTAGAGAAGTCCGTAAATGACATGATGGAGCTGAAAACAATGGCACGAGAACTACGTGACAAATGCACAAGCTTCAGTAACCAATTCAATCAACTGGAAGAAAGGGTATCAGTGATTGAAGATCAAATGAATGGAATGAAGCGAGGAGAGAAGTTTAGAGAAAAACAGGTAAAAAGAAATGAACAAAGCCTCCAAGAAATATGGGACTATGTAAAAAGACCAAATCTACGTCTGATTGGTGTACCTGAAAGTAAAAGTGATGGGGAGGTGGAAACCAGTGAACACTCTGCAGGATTTATCCAGGGGACCTTCCCACTAGCAAAGGAGGCATAATTCAGGAATACGGATGCCCAAAGATACTCTTGGAGAAATCGAACATAATTGTTCGATTTCCAGTTGAAATGAAAGGAAAATGTTAGGGAGGCAGAGGGAAAGTCGGGTTACCAAAAGGGAGCCATCAGCCAACGCAGATCTCTCGCAGAAACTTCAGCAGAAGAGGGGGGCAAGTTCGGGCTTT